CTGCGCCGGCAGTCCGCCACAAAGCCTCGTACTGATCGCGCGTTTCTCTCATTATTGTATTTTCATATATTTGTTAGTCGTTTGTTTTGTGTCTCGTTAATTTGTTAATAATCTGTAGTGTATCGTGTTGTCGTAATATAGAACTATTTCTCGTATTGTTTCGTTTAATTTTTTATATCCAGTAAACTCCAGTCGTGCGTCGGAGCGGACACACACACTTTTTTTTTTATGAGTATTGGGGGGCTCCGCGGAACATCCTGACATAAAAACTTTTCTAGAACTTCATTCTTTATTAGTTTCGAGAAATATTATATTCATTAATTTGTTAGACAATTTAAATAAAACACTGGCGGTAGGATCTCTTGAGAGTCCGCGCGGGTAGGTACCACCACCCTGCCTATTTCTGCCGTGAAGCAGTAATGCGTTTCGGTTTGAAGGGTGGGGCAACCGTTGTAACTATACTTGAGACCTTAGAACTTATATCTAAAGGTGAGTGGTGGCATTTACGTTGCAGATGTCTATGGGCTCCGGTAACCACTTAACATCAGGTGGCCGTGAGCTCGTCCACACAATCATCTAAGCAATAAAACAAAAGGGTGCGTGTACTTATTTACGCGCGTAAGAAGTTATACTTTATTTTTATTAAATTTATTTCTTCTTTTTTTTAAATATTTAATAATTAAATTTCTGTTTTGTTGGTAGCATTTTTTACGAGTGTACATGCGCGAAAGTTCACCTGCGGTCGTATTGTAATGAGCGATTTAGTGGGTAATTTCATTTCTGTTAATTTTGTGTCACGGTGCGCGCGCATCGTAAAATTTCACTCTCATCAATTTTTCATAACGCGCCTAAAGAAGTATAACTTCAAAAACCACTCACATTTTATCAACGACTTCGAGACTAGCCTGGCACTCGGCTTCGCCCTCCCTGTTCTTGGCGACGCATTTGTACACTCCCGCGTCGTCCGGTCCGATATCCCTGACGTACAGACAGGCAGCGTCGCCGTCGCGTTTGATGTTATATTTGTCGGAGTGCTTCAGGAGAACTCCGTCCTTGTACCAGGAGATGTCGGGGAAGGGGATGCCGAACACGCGAGCAGGGAATTTGGCGTCGAATGTCGGTAACTGTAAAACGTATTTACATGTTCTGTAATTGAATACTATACTATATTAATATACTATAATATATTATACTAATATAAAAAAGTACAGTGGTTTTTACGGATGTTCCATTATAACTACTGAACCATGCATCAGATTGACTTGAAACTTGGTATCCAAGTAGAAAATACATGTACTTAATGGATAGGCTAATATTTATATGAGTGTTGGACTCTCTACCCCAGTTGCAGGGGCGTCAATGATGAGAATCTTTGTGGGGGTGAGAAATAATAATGTTAATTTTAAATGCCCAGCGAAGCGGACGGGTACAGCTTGTAATCTATATTATTTGACAACTTATATAAACTAAGCAAACAATAAATGTGGGCCAGAATTTCGTAATGCATTATTTGAAATTATTTACTAATATAATTGACTCAGCTTATGTGGAATTTGATGTGCACAAAAGTACAGACAAACAAATTAAGTATACGTATACTAAGTGTTCATGGTGTTATGCGTGAATTTTAACGTGTTGTCTATGAATTTTTTTGTATGTTTGTCTGCAGATTCATAGCCTCTAAGCCTATTAACAATTTACCTTTTTTTATATTGCATTTATTAATGATGAACATATTTCTGGCATATATTACCTGCTGCAGGTCAGTGAACCGCTGGGAGAAGGTGGGTGCTTGGTAAACCTTCTTAACGGTGATCTTGCCTTCAGAGCTGTCCTCGCCCAGAGGGTTGACCAGCTTCACGGAGTACACCCCTGCGTCCGGCAACTCCACCGGGTTTATTTCTAGACCCACCTTTAAAATAAATTGTAAATAGATTAATTCACTTTTGTTTGCATCAATATTCTTATATTGTAATATCGATAACAATGCTTGGAGAAGCTATCCAATGAATCAATGAATATCAGTTCTCAATGAATATCAATAAATGAATTAATCTATACTAGAGGTCCCGCAGTAGTCGAAATTCGACTATAGTTACTTGGAATTGTACACTATTATGATTGTATTTTATACTTCTTTAATCACAAATTTCGCCAAGTCTACACTATAAAAAATATTAACAAAGACAAACAATATTTAATCTATTCTCTATCTCTATCTATAAAAATTCATAATCAATTAATTGCCAAAAAATTATGTGTATTTGTTTAAACTAGTGGTCTCCCGGTAGTCGAAATTCGACTATAATTAATTGAAATTATAAGTTTGTACGCTATTATGATTCTATTTTCAAAGACTATTATACTTCTATAATCACAAATTTCGCCAAGACCACACTATAATAAAATTTTAACAAAGACAAACAATATTTAATCTATTCTCAATTTGACAACAGACGCCAAGAACAAAAGTTTAACAATAAATAGTATGCACGCGTGTGTGCGTCAAATACATGGCATGTAGTGTGTGTAATGTTTTCTTTATTGATTTAATGTACATATCTTTTATGCATTATTTAAAAAAAATATTAGCATTGTGCACTTCTTCTCTATATTCTCTATAAGTGTGGAAAATTTCATACTCCTCCGTCCGCGCAATTGTAGTAAGAAGGGATACAAAGCTTTTGCTTCACGTATTGATATTAAAATAATGTCAGTAGCTCTGACTTACATTGGATATAATAAATTAGGAGAAGTAAGTTAAGTAACTGGACTATCCTGTGGTAATTTTTTTTGATTCATTTGGTTATGATTGAGTGTTTTATTAATATAACTTCACACACATTACTAGTGGTAGGACGTCTTGTGAGTCCGCACGGGTAGGTACCACCACCCTGCCTATTTTAGCCGTGAAGCAGTAATGCGTTTCGGTTTGAAGGGTGCGGTAGCCGTTGTAACAATACTGAGAGCTTAGAACTCATATCTCTAGTTGGGTGGCATTTACTTTGCAGATGTCTATGGGCTTCGGTAGCAGCTTAACACCAGGTGGGCCGTGAGGTCGTCCACCTATATAAGCTTTAAAAAAAAATATGTAAAGTAACATTGTATATGTATAAATATGTACATATTATATTTGAGTAATGAGTAAGTAGCTTTATTCATTTTACAGGCTAATAAGACTTCCGATGTGAATGTTAGTTCAGTTTTATTTAAAGTCTCACCCGTTTCCCGTCACATGTGAGCAGGATCTTCTCGTCTGGCCTCAAGGGTTGTCCGTCCTTAGTCCACGTGACCTCGGGGACAGGGTTGCCGACGAAGGGCGCGGTCATCGAGAGAGGCTGTCCTTCCGCTGCCGTCACGTCTCTGAGGCCGTGGATGAACTGCGGCCGCTCTTGTGGGTTCGAGTCGTCCTGGCGACCTGGTACAATAGGCAACTGAGCATCAGGGAAACGCAAAGAGTTTCTCTGTAATGACCTTTATTGTCAGATGAAATTAAGGTTATTTTTATTCGAATCTTCCTTTAAATGAATAAAATGCTATTCTTATTGTTACGCCACCATCACATCTATCATCAAAGAGCAGAACCTAAGATTAAAAAAACTAGTAATGTCAAGAACGCTCGAGAAGTTTAACGCCATCTATTATCAAATAGCGGAAATACACATCAAACGACTGGTACTACCAGGAATGTTCTCGATAACTGTAGACTTGTCGTGTCGATTATAAAAGCGTTACAGAGATGACACGAAGGCAGCTAGTAAGCTAAACAGCGAACGGAACACCTGAAGCGAAGCGAAACAAGTGGATTGCGAAAATTGTAAGTGTTTCATAAGTGTTTTAAGTGTTAAATCGAGTTTTAATTTGTTCTTCAGTGAAAGTTTTATTAGTCCAGAGCCCCAGCGCGTAACATTATTTATTGGTGTAAGATACTCACTGGACACGGTCAGGTCTGCTTCAGACTTGGTCTCGCCCTTGTCATTGTTGGCGACGACTCCGTATCGTCCAGCGTCGGATGGCGTAGCGGCCGCGATGAGCAGCGCGTGTGTCCCGTCTGGCTGTGACACCACACGAATACGGACGCCGTCCGGAACCAACTCCTTACCGTCAAGTGTCCTAGAATTACAGTAAATAAATACTTTATCTATATATTAATACGTGAAGGAAAAACTTTGTATCCCTTTTTACGTAAATTGCGCGGACGGAGGAGTATGATTTTTCCTACACTTATAGAGAATATAGTGAAGNAGCGCGTGTGTCCCGTCTGGCTGTGACACCACACGAATACGGACGCCGTCCGGAACCAACTCCTTACCGTCAAGTGTCCTAGAATTACAGTAAATAAATACTTTATCTATATATTAATACGTGAAGGAAAAACTTTGTATCCCTTTTTACGTAAATTGCGCGGACGGAGGAGTATGATTTTTCCTACACTTATAGAGAATATAGTGAAGAAGTTCAGAATGCTAATATTTTTTTAAATTATGCCTAAAAATACATTAAATCAATTAAAATAAACATTACATACACTACCATGTATTTGACGCACACACGCATGCATACTATTTATTTATTGTCAAACTTTTGTTCTTGACGTCTTATTTTTTTAAGGGATTTTATGGTAACTGAGACCTTTAAGTCATGTTTTATTTTAATTTACATTCATCTTTTTATGAAAAATAGTATTATGGAGTGAAATGAAATGAAGATGATTAATTTGAGACACTAATCAACTGGGATGAAATTAAATGAGATGATATGGGATGAAATATAATCTCAGTAAAATGGTGGTCATATACTAAGATTTTTTCAGTGGACTTTTTGGAGGATGCCGAGAAGTTACGTCCAGCGGCTTTGTTTCATTTTTCCACATTTGTGAACTTTCACAGATACTAAGCAGTTAATAAACCACCATTATTACACATTTAAACCCGAAGAAACACTAAATAGAAAAAATAAAACAAATCACACAACTTCACTCCTCGCGTTCCCGCCAAAAAGACCTGTTCTTGACGTCTGTGGTCAAATTGAGAATAGATTAAATAATGTTTGTCTTTATTAATAATATTTTTCTATAGTGTAGTCTTGGAGAAATTTGTGATTATAGAAGTATAATAGTCTTTGAAAATAGAATCATAATAGTGTACAAACTTACAATTTCAATTAATTATAGTCGAATTTCGACTACCGGGCGACCACTAGTTGACACAAATACACATAATTGTTTGTCAATTAATTGATTATGAATTTTTATTAATTCGTTAAGTCTTACCATTTGATAGTAGGTGGCGGATGTCCAAGCACCTTGACCTCCAGTCTGACCGGGAATCCTTCAATGACCTTGGTAGGTTGTAGTTCTGCTATGAAGGCTGGTTTCCGCTCCTTTTGAGTTACGTCGACGTTCGCCTTTGAACCGACCTGTTTAGAGAGAGAGACAGAATATGCTTTATTATACACCAAACTAAATAAAAATGTAATAGGCGGTCTTATCGCTAAGAACAATTTATTTTAGACAACCGTCAGATGAACAAGAATCACTTCAGGAAATAAATTAACCGCGGTGTACATATTATTAGTTGTATTTTTTTTTACATATTTAGTTTCTCCACCTCCTCGGGATAGCGTATGGTGTAAATTGAAGACATGAGTGGATGAAGGAGTTAAGTACCACTTTTAGATTTTTTAGTTTTTAAATTGAACGAAGATGTTGTGTGCCTATAAACCATATTAGACTTTAAATCTCCGAGTTTAAAGGCTATTTTTAGAAATCGCATGTGATGAAGGAAAATTACAAGTATCAAAAGCCGTTGTTGCCCGTTATCTCAAAATTAACAAATTGTATCATATCCCCTTGATCCACTCGTGACTTCCATGCGTAGCTATATTTCACGCTGCACCGCTACGCCGTAGTACGTAGCAGCGCTACGCTGTACTACAGGATTTTAGCTACGATGCTACGGGCTTCGTGTATCAGATCAGATACGAGTTTTAATTAGGGATGTTACTTTACGTTTTTTTTCATAGAAGTAAATTAAATATTGAATATAATAAATGCGATAAATAGGCAAGCTAGTTAGTTTCAGTCTTCAGCTGTTATTGTGGATATTTTTCGATGGACGGTAGAGGTAACCTTGAGTTTATACACGATGCATCGGATATTTAAATCGAAACAAATGTATTTCAAGTTGGATATATAACCTCTCCGAGTTTGTTGGTGACGGTGAGTGAGTAGACTCCAGCATCTTCCGGCTTGCAGTTGTCGATGCTGAGACCGACGACTCCGCCCGGCTGATTGATGAAGTTGATCGCCTGTGATGGACGGACCGGCAAGCCTAAGGAATGACGTGACGCGTGAAGGGATATTGTAAAAAAATGTTTTGTATCTGCATTAGGACGAGTTCTTGGTTCATTCAGTGTTGAGTGATTAGCAGAACACGTAGGCTTCCGCCTAACTCGAGATATGAGGTTGAAGTGTTGATTATACAGTCTAATGGTAGTTCTATCCTTCAAGACCATAAGTCATTGACTGCTTCGGGACAGAAGTGCCATGACAATACCCACCCATGCGGGCTTACAATACCACTAGCAAAGATGAAAATTTAAAATTTTTGCAAGTTATATTCTAGTAGATAGTTTTTCGGATAATCATATGCGACTTAAGAACGGGGATGGGGTTCAAGTCATTATGCAGTGTGTACATAGAGGACATTTTTCCGCAGTAAATTATTATCAACCAACAAATGGTTTCGTTAGAACTTGAAAAAGTTGAGACTTAATTACATACCGTCCTTGAACCACTTGACTTCTGGCGCTGGGAAGGCCATCACCCTGGCTTCTAGTTTCAATGGCTGACCCACTACTGCCTTTATGTCTTCTAGCTCTTGACTGAACGATGGCTTCCTTGGTGTAGCTATACAAATAGGATTTGATGAAATGAAAATAGTTAGACCGGTGATTCTTTCATGAGCAAAGACAAATTGGATTCTATTAACATAGGAGAATATATATCTTGGACCTTGAAAATATACAAATATTTTGAAATACTATTAACTTAAAAAAGAACGTAACGTGAAATCCGACTGATAACTTCTTAATAATTGAACTACCATATACATATTAGTACATAGATACCGCATTTTCCTTTTAAAATTAAAAAAATTAAAATTGTGTTTTGCCAGCCCTATCAAAAGTTTTCAATATTGCTAAAGTAGTAAGTACTCACGATTAACAGCGACTGCACACAAAGCCGAGTTGTCACCGTTAGGGTTGGATATGACCAGTTTATACGCTCCGCAGTCGGAGGGGGTCACTTCAGCGATGTTCAGTTTGACCCAGCCCTCGGCCAGAGCTGATTGCTTCACGTGATCGTCGTCTGCGGGAATCGGAACACCGTCTTTGTACCTGCAAGTCCGGAAATAACACCATGAATATGCTCAGGAATGCCTTTGCACCTGTAGGTCATTTGAATATTCTAGATAGCAACGATTCACGATTTAATGTTTCAAGGGACGTTAGTTCGTCTGGTGTTTGATCAGGCTACATACAGATAAGCAAAACAGTTATGTACCTTTTTTTACTGAAATTTTTAACAAACTTATTTTATAATATTAGTTAAAAAAGGGTGCGTGTACTTATGTACGCGCGTAAGAAGTTATACTTTATTTTCTTTTAATTTTTTTATTTTTTATTTAAATTTTAATCAATTTGAAAAAAAATCGATTATACAACATCCTCAAACACGCATATTGGACATCCCTTTTCTTGACATAGTATAAATTCGGTAATTCTCGGTACGGTTCGGAAAGTTCATCTGCGGCTATATTCAGACTCGCCAAGTTACGTCGGTCGTATTGTAATGAGCGATTTAGTGGGCAACTTCATTTCTGTTATTTTTATGTCACGGTGCACGCGCATCGTAAAATTTCACTCTCATCAATTTTTCATAACGCGCCTAAAGAAGTATAACTTCAAAAGTTAGTAAAAAATGGCAAAAAAGGTTTTTTCTCTAGCATCTTCACATGAAAATGTGGCAATGACAGAACAAAAGAGAAAATATAACACTTGAGGTGTCACAGATTACGATCGATTTTAATAAAATTTGTGTGATAAAAGGAAGAAACAAGAATATTCCTTTGCGTACATAAAAAATGGGCAACACTAGTCAATAATTGCAAATCAACATTTTTTTTATAATTGGCCCCTAAGCTCCATTATGTTTTTGGTTCCAACGACACAGGCTAGACATCTTATGTTTCTCAAGCTCGTTTCGGTAAAGTATACCCAATTTATTTCATAAATGAACACCAATAATTTAATAGGTACACCATTAGAAGGAATAGTTTCCGCCGGATATTTTTAAGCTGTGTACGTAATACATACCAAGTGGCAGTTGGAGTAGGGCTGCCGTCGATCTTAGCCTTCAGCTCGAGAGGTTCCCCTTCGTCAACGTCCTTCTGCCTGTCCAGACGGTGTGTGAACCCTGGGGCTAGCTGCGCTAACGTTATCTGAGCTTCGCAAGACGCCTCACCGGCCAAGTTCAACGCGCGAACTTTGTACTAGAGTTAATAATTATGAATAAGAATTTAATGAAAGTTGATTAATAATAATTATATAGTAACATTATTTAGATACGTGATAATTTGAGTATTAAATTACGGGATATACTATAGAATTTTTTATTACTTAAACTCGTGAACGAACTCAGGTACTACCTGATGATAAGTAGTTACCGGAGCCCGTAAATATCAACAACATTAATTCAAACCGAAACGCATTACTGCTTCACGGCAGAAATAGGCAGGGTAGTGGTACCTACCCGATCGAACTCACAAGACGTTCTACCACCAGTAATTACGCAAATTATAAATTTGCGGGTTTGGTTTTTACTGCACGATGTTATACCTTCACCGTGGTGTCAATCGTGAACATTTGTTAAGTATGTATGTCATTAGAAAAATTGGTACCCGCCTGCGGGATTCGAACCGCGGGAATCGCTAGATACGCATGCACCGGACGTCTTATCCTCTAAGGCACGACGATTTCATTTCACAATTCAAGAGAAAATCTTACACCGTCATTACCTTTCCAGCATCGTCACTATTGAAGTGCTTGATGTCCAGCTCGCTGTCAACCTGACCACCGACTTCCGTGGTGACGGTGTGACGGTCATCGTTGGTTATCTCCTTGCCGTTCACGTACCACTTCACCTCCGGTTTCGGTTCGCCGTCGCAGCGCACCTTCAGCGTGCAATCATCGTAGTCTTTCACCGTTTGCTTCTTCAAAGGCTTAGTGAAGATTGGCTCGCCGGCTGTGGAGCAAAAAAGCAGTCCCACTTTTATTGCTTAGATGGGTAGGAGAGCTCACAGCCCACCCGGTGTTAAGTGGTCACTGGAGCCCATAGACATCTACGACGTAAATGCGCCACCCACCTTGAAATATCAGTTCTAAGGTCTCAAGTATAGTTACAACGGCTGCCCCGCCCTTCAAACCGAAACGCATTACTGCTTCACGGCAGAAATAGGCAGGGTGGTGGTACCTACCCGCGCGGACTCACAAGAGGTCCTACCACCAGTTATCTTCCCCGTACTTACCCTTTTAATGAGGATATCTAAAACTGCGATCAATTATTGATGATCTTTAACTGGTCATTCATGATGGTTTGTTTTTTTTTTTTTTTTTTATTGCCTTTGTAGGCAGACGGGCATACGGCCCACCTGATGGTGAGTGGTTACCGTCGCCCATGGACTTCAGCAATGCCAGGGGCAGAGCCAAGCCGCTGCCTACCGCTAAAATTGATGTGCGAAGGCGTTAAAGTCAAAAAGGATGCTCTGGAGTCATGATCTGCACGTAACTGAATATAATGGATGAGCACCCTCTAGATGTACCGCATGTTCTCAAGAATGTGGTACTACCATAGTAACGGGTCGAGGATTATGTTAATTATTTTTACAATCAATAAGGGTGATATCAATTCAAATTTATTTTTAGTTAACAATATGTGAAATGTAGTTAAAAAAAACTCAAATACTTAATCAAACTTTTATTCATTCTGCTGGTACCGGTCAAGACATTAGCAAAACGAAGATTAAAAAAGTATATTCTATACTTAATGCGTGGGCAAATTTTCAAGTTCATTTTGAAGTCGACGATAATGAAGTTCAAAGATGTAAACCAATACGTACGTAAGACAATGAAAAATATTAGAAATAAACCCAATTGTTTGATGCTACAATTTTGGATAAAAATATTGTAGAAAGAAACATTGACTCACTGCGTATGATGAGCTTAGCTTGTTGGGCGGTTTCACCGATCTCGTTCTTGGCTGTCAGCGTGTATACACCAGCGTCGTCCATTCCGACCTTCTTAACAGTGAGCTGATACTTCTCAGCATCTTTGTCTTCGCTTATCTCGATGTGAGACGATGGTTTGATAACGTATCCGTCTTTACTCCTGTGAGAATTAGCATTAAAGTTAGGAAGTCGCAAGGGTCGAATCAGTACCAGTGCTCCTGCTGTTGGGAAGTTATCCTGTACCAAGTTATCCAGTTCTATTAACATATTAAGTTCCATTACACGATTTTAGTAGTTAGCGGTTTTATCGGTTGAGTTATTTGAGTTTTATCAGAAGATAGTCAAAAAGTTTGCTGAGACCTTAGAACTCAGGTCTCAAGGAACGTGACATAACGTCGTGTAACAAAAGGTATTATAAGCGTGCACGTGTATGCACCATGCCTATTTCTCCTCTTTCCTTCTCTTCATCTGTCTTCCCTTCTCCTTCTCATGCATGCCGGTTTGATGGGTGAGACAGCCTTTAAATTACACAATTGAGACTTCAACCTCATGTCTGTGGGCTAATCACTTAGGAACAGATAGGCTTTGAACTCATTCAGAAATTTACGTAACCTGAATTTTGTCTTAAACGTCTTTTTGACAATGCATATTTTATGGTTGGAAGTGGCATGGCTGTACACTCTTCGTCCGTTTGTGGATGCTCTTCTGAAGATAGAAAAATGTATGATCATTTACCACTGAATCTCAGCAATGGGGTTAGCTCGGACGTTGGCAACGAAGGTGGTCTCCTCATAAGGTACGGCAGAAACATCCTTGAGACCTTCGATCTCTGGTCTCAGCAGGATGTCGAGACGAGCAGAACTTTCACCAACACCGTATTTGTTCTTAGCTTGGATGGTATAGTTACCGGTATCAGCATGGCGACCTTGGAGAAAGAATCAATATATTTTATTAACAAAGACTGATTAGAATATTTATAAAATGTAATCTCTCCCTCGTTTTTTTAAGGATGGCAATTGGCTTCTTGCGATGCCACTGTTGCCATTGTCGAGTTTGTGAGAATCGAAAGACATACGTATTCTTTTACATAAAAATTATATGGAGTGAAATGTGAAAAAGTTGATTTATTTTAAACCATGATCAACTGGGATGAAATTAAAGGCTCAGGCCGGTTACAGTGCTCCACCGACCGTCTGTGCGTACGTTCCGTCCTGACGGTACGCATTAACCGATCGTCAGTTTGCTTCATTCAGTGCTCTCCTGACCAACAATCTGACCGGATTGGTATAGTCGGTACACAAAATGGAAGCGTTTGCAAATATGTAGTTTAATGGCTGCTTATTTTCGAAAACGTTTAAGGAACAAAAGCCGTAGATATCACGCACATCCAATCGTCGTCCAAAGAGCATTGCAAGGGGAATTCACCACTTTATATTCATTATTGCGCGAAGATCAAAAAACAAAATTTAATTACTTCAGAATGTCGATTAAAAGTTTTGATGAATTATACTTCTTGCCAGGCCTTTAACTTGGCATCGCGTTCTTTATATAACATGTGGCCTTTGTCCCAGAGAGGTTCACGAAGATGAACTTCGGTAATTAGGCGTTCGGTGCGATATATTTGGCCATGTTCAATACGAAATCGCTTTTTTTGATGATGATACACACATCCGTACGGTCGGTCCACCGATCCGTGCAGCACAGAACGCGTTCATTTGTTTAAATAGCGCGTCGGTCGACCGACGGCACGCATGCGGACGCGCTAGACCGACGGTCCTCGTACGCAGTGCGTAGCAATATACGCGTGCGTACGGTCAGTCCAGCACTGTAATGATTTATGAATTTTCATATAAACGACAAGCGCGACTGACGTACGCACCGACGGTCGGTGGAGCACTGTAACCGGCCTCAGTAATGGTGGTTATATACTGTTATTTCAGTGGCCTTTTTGGAAGAATTTGAGAAACCACGCTTAGTGGCATTGTTTCGTTTTTCCACATTTGTGCACTTTCACAAAATTAAATGTTAAGCAGTTAACTTAACCACCGTTATTATGCGTTTAAGCCTAAATACTAAATTAACAAAATAAAGCAATTCCTACAACTTTGTTTTTCGCATACCCGCCAATAGGTCCATAATGTAATTTTTCGTTTGACCATTCAAAATTAGATGCCCCGTAGCCCATTTGTTGTAAAGAAACATAATCTTACCAGTGGGAATTTGCAGGGTGAAAGTGCACTCTTTCAAACCATGTTCAATATCCTTTGCATCGGCTGACGTCACGATTGTAGCGTCGGGAGTCAATTCTACTCCGTTAAGAAGCCACGACACATGTGGTTGAGGATCCGCTGTACAAACAGCTTGGAGACTGACGGGCTCCCGTTGCAAAATGCGCTGGGCTTCTAGAGGTTGCGTAAACTTTGGCTTGCGGAGCTCACTTTCGGCTGTGAATTGTTTGGAATTATTAGATATAATTATGTGAGAATCATTCATATGTACTATGGTAATAAATTTGATGGAAGTCTGTGTAAATACACTAAAGTTAAAATTTTATAATAAAATATAAACATATAATTTAAATGTAAAAACTTATTATATCACACGAATGTTTGATAATAATAAATTAATTCTTATAACATCTGTTACGTTAGACACTTACGTTTTACCGTCAAATCGGCCTTCAGTACATTCTTGCCGAGGTCATTGCTAATCTCGCACTGCCATTGTCCAGCGTCATCCAAATTAACTCTATCGATCTCCAATTTATAAAGATCTCCTTCGTTGGTGATGTGAACTCTGCCGCAAGGCTTTACTTCCTTACCGTCGTGAAGCCAGCGAATTGCCGGCTTAGGAGTCCCGGATGCTTCAACCGTGTAAACTAGTGGAAGGGACTCGTATACCTCTTTGTCCTTGAAGGAACTGTCTTTTAAGATAGGTGATGNGTCATCCAAATTAACTCTATCGATCTCCAATTTATAAAGATCTCCTTCGTTGGTGATGTGAACTCTGCCGCAAGGCTTTACTTCCTTACCGTCGTGAAGCCAGCGAATTGCCGGCTTAGGAGTCCCGGATGCTTCAACCGTGTAAACTAGTGGAAGGGACTCGTATACCTCTTTGTCCTTGAAGGAACTGTCTTTTAAGATAGGTGATGCTGTAAAATTAATATTTTCATGTATTTTGATTTTATGTTCTCTGTTAAGTTGATTTTTTTTATTTTAAGTTATTATTATTATTATTATTATATTGTTGCTAACTTTAGTGATAAACCAAAGATCATATTTTAAGGATTTTCATCTTCGATAAAAAGTACAATGTACCATAAAATTTTAGGGATTTATTAGGTCTTGAAATTATCAGTTAACATCAAAAAGTCTTTTAATAACCGATGAGACTTCTGATCAAAGCCGAAAAGGAAGCACCTCTAAAAAACACAAAAAAAAGAATATACAGTAACTTGTGCCCAGATCGCAATATGTACAGCAGATGTTACGGAAAAAAGATTTGTTTTAACATGGCGAATGGCTACTTACAAATTCAACTGCGAAGTGATGAGCCGCTACATGTGTGTCTTGTACAAGTGTGTAGTTTCTATACATACCTTGTATATTGAAGATTATGTTTTATTATTTTTTCGAACTCCAGAAAAAGCGAAACGTGCAAGCGATGTCATGCAGCTGTATAAAATTAAATTTACCTTGATGACATGATGATACTTCCCGTTGATCTAGATTCTCGTCAGGAACGCGCCCCAAGTATTAGTATGCCAGAAGGGAATGTTATTACGCATGCGCGCTAAAACAAACATACGACAGAGCATTAGTCGAGAACATGGACTTACATTAACGGGACATTTAATTTGCCAATGTAAAGTAATAACTTGTCAGAAATATAAAGTTGAATACCGTAGATTATGTCAACAAAGAAAAATTATATTATCATTTTTTTTACAAATCCGGTGGGTCATAACAAGTTACCACTAAAAATGGCGTGCAAATATTGGATTAAAGCAAAATATTGTTGTTATATCTCCGAACAGACATTGCGTAGCGTTACATCGTATGTCAGCCTCTTTTGCTTTGTCCGTTTCAAGTATTTTACGTTTTGGACAATTACCTTTTTCGTCTTCCTTATTTAGAATATCATCGAGTATGCTTCTCTGTCTCTGGCTTCGTTTCAACAGATCGTCCACTTGTTGGTCATTCGCTTCTTCTTGAACGCTAAACAATTTTGCCTCTCCCTTTCGTTTTCTTTCTACGGCCATTTCGGTTACGTCTTTTGTTAAGCTATCTAATTTTCTGTCTGGCCCAATGACTAACTCTTCAATAAGTCTATTTCTAACATCATCTACTTTACTTTTAATATTTTTAAATTCATTTTCGTCGAAATCTTTTGAGATGTGAATGAGTTTCTCTGTGATATCGTTTTCGAATACTTTTTCTGATTTTTCTTTGAGAATTAAGGATTCTTGATCACCTTTATTAGTGAAATAGTCCTCTTTGAAAGATGACTGACGTACATATGAGTCTTTACTGAAAACTTTTCTAGTGTCGTCAATATCAAAGATAGATTTCGAAAGGTCTTCAATGGAAATTTCGCGCGATAAAGATTCATTGTGCCAGCTCATTTCATCCTCGGACATGGACATAATTGACACAGTTCTGTTGTTATAATTCTTAATGCCTCTCGTACTTTCCGCATCAGAATCAGTTTGAGGCTCTTCAATTATGCCGTAAGTTCCACGCCTTATATAATCTGGTATGGTGTAATGACCCATTTCCGACAGCATATAACTATGGCTGGCTATTTCTTCAACTTCCAATGAAGTTGTATGTGGCTGATTTGGTTTTATAATCTTTCTACTTTCGAATTCGTCATCGTCCTCATAATAAACAGTGCTCGATGTCATTTTATGTAAAGTGTGCGTTTCAGCGGGACCTAACATTTGAAATAGTTTATTGATATTATTTATCTATGCTTTTTAAATGATTAAAACATTTCATGTTAGACGTGCTTTGTGACTAATGCGTTAGGTTTAACAGTGAAAATAAATAATTAATAGCAACATGTTTTAATGTAATTTTAATGATGAAGTTAGACTGAGGAAGACAGGTAGGAAGCCAAATACTGACCTGTGACGATAGCACCATGAGACCTGCTGCTGCTTACTTTAGACATTATGATAGATCCATCGTCACCTTTCTTGAAAGTAGTTACTGTTTCAAAAACTCGTCCTAAACAACAAATCACACAATAGAACTGTTAAAAACACTGGTTAAAAGCATGCAATTGTTGTACGCGAAAACGAGGCGTCCTCGCATTCTAAGCTGTTGGCTGAAGAAAAGCATTAAGCGTTTTATACCTTCGACTTCAGCACTTAATGGTTCTTCTGAAACAGACTCTTTTTTCAAAGATTTACGTTTGGATGATTTGAGTTCTTCATCCAGAGGTACTTCTTCTATCGATTCAGGTTTTGTGACGCTTGTATCACCGATTTTCTTTTCAACTATCACCTCTTCAACGATAGGTTTCTTGATCTTTTCATTGTGGTTTTCATCCCAAATGCTTTTTTCCTCAGCTACTTCAAGCGGAGTGCTGGATTTTAAGCCTTTGTCGACTTTTTCACTGTCTACTTCTGCCACTTTAGGTTTCTTTGATGATTTGCTGTCACTATCATCCCAAAAAGATTTCTCTTCGGATATTTCTGGCTCTGTGACAGATTTATTTGCTTTATCACGGCGTGGAGTTTCAACTTCATCAATAACAATATTTTTTGTATTTTCCTCTTTACGATCGTCATCCCAAATAGACTTTTCTTCTATGACTTCTGAGATAGATTTTCTACCTTTCTTCTTCACAGGTTTATCGGTGTCTTCGAATGTTACTTTCTTTGGTTTTTCGTCATCACCTAAATCATCCCAAAATGATTTCTCTTCCACTGTATCCGGCTCAGAAAGCGACTTACGACCCTTAGTTGGCTTGGGAACTTCAGATTCTTCAATGATTGGTTTTTTAGCTTTTTCGGCATCATCATCCTCCCAAATAGATCTTTCTTCGATTGTTTCCGATGCTGATTTTTCTTTTTTTGCACTAAGTTTTTGTGTTTTTTCAACTTCTTCCTCTAAAGGCTGTTTTGCCTTCGCATCAATTTCACTTTGCACTTCTTTCTTAGTGATTTTCGAGTGAACTTCCTCCGCTATTGAACTTTTAACTTCTTCCTCTAGAGGCTGTTTTGCCTTCGCATCGATTTCACTTTGCACTTCTTTCTTAGTGATCTTCGAGTGAACTTCCCCCGCTATTGAACTTTCAACTTCTTCCTCTAGAGGCTGTTTTGCCTTCGCATCGATTTCACTTTGCATTTCTTCCTTAGTGATCTTCGAGTGAACTTCCCCCGTTATTGAACTTTCAACTTCTTCCTCTAAAGGTTGTTTTGCCTTCGCATCAATTTCACTTTCCACTTCTTCCTTAGTGATCCTCGAGTGGACTTCCCTCGCTATTGAACATAACAAAAATGGAAACAATAATATTGGTTAATCATAAATGGGACGAATTTATTATTTTAAAAGTTGAAATGGTAAGGGTTGGTTTCATTGGTTATGTATGGACGGATTCAGCACTCAGTCGCTTGAATGCTTCGATGTATAAGTAAATCTACCAAAACTATTGGTATCTAAAATTATCTACATCACAAAAACTAACGTGCTTTGGTAATCTAAGGTTCGCAGTCTACGTTAGGTCATACTATTACTTTACCATAAATCGTTTTCCAGCGGAGCTAGTTCTGTGTATGTAACAGAACCTGCTTACGAGGGGATGTCTTACCGAGGCTATGTGTCAGAGCGTAATGTGTACTTTTGTAAAACGTGTATTATACGTGTATTATAGTATTGCTGGAATCAAAACTACTATCATCAGTTCTACAAATCGTGTCTGTTTTCAAAATGTTTTTGTGCAAGTGTGTTTTGTGTTGCGATGTACTCACTGTGGACTGTGACTGTACTCTTCGATGACACGCTTCCCATCTCATTCTCAGCTTTAACTTCGTATTCGCCACCGTCTTCCTCCTTCACTAATGTCACCGTGAGATGATAATTTTCGAGCCTGCAAATATATTTTTGTACTTATAAATAAATTAAACATGAATCAAATGTAATTATTTGATTTTTGATCGATAATATTTGATCTTATTTCGTTTTGTTCCATTCCATTTCATTTCGAGTGATTACAATTTCAAATAAATATGATCTTGATTTTTGTACTTTGATATAAAAATAGTGTAATATCAATCTTATAAAATGTTTCGGATCTGCGAAAATCCTTTAAAACTAATTTTTTTATGCAGCTAAGTTTCAAGTGTGTGTAAGCATGTCTGTAAGTCACGTAGTGCTTGCTCTCTTACAAATAATGAACTTATTGTATTGAGGGGTGCAAGGCCATTTAGTTTAAGCGACATTTCGCTTAGCACGTGACATTTATCTTTGTATTTAAGATCTGTTTTATTTCATATTAGTATCAACAATTCGATGCTTTTAAATGAACATCAATTATTTTTACACCATTCAAATAGCTGAAGAAGTTTATTTTAAATGATATTTTTTCGAAAATTTAATCATTTATTGGCCCCCCTGTAAATAAATTAAATCGCACCTTTTCTTTCAGCCTTTCACCCCTCGATATGGTCTCGATATGATAAGTACTCATAACTATCATACCTAGTATGTTTTTCATGGATATCGACAGCTGAAGTTTTATGTTAAAAGTTAAAACCGATTACAGAAACTTCACAGTACGGCTATAAATAATTATCAAGATTTATGTTTGTACCCACCTCTTAGTGTCTCTTTCTATTTTAATTCTGGCATCAGTAGTGACTTCTTTTCCGTCTTTAAACCAACGAACCTTGGGTTCCGGGCTGCCCTCGACTTCCACATCAAGTTTTAGGGTCTGACCTGCGTCGACGGTCATATCCACCAGGCTCTTAGTGAACCGGGGTTTTCCTGAACAGTAATAGTGACCGGTTTAAGAAGTTATGTAGTACTGATCTATGTAATATATGTAACTTGTAGGGAACTAACTGAATGAATGACATATTTAGATTATAATTCAATCACCAATTTTCTCTTTACCACTTAGTAGTAAACAGTCTTTCATTTTCCAAGTCATCTAGATTCGATGCGTTTGTGTCTAAACTTATTTACAAACGAATCTCTATGGCACAAGTTCTTCTTGCCAATTACCAAGTAACTCTAGGAATAAATGACGTCACTCGTGGTAGGACGTCTTATGAGTCTGCACGAGTAAGTACTACTACCCTATCTATTTCTACCGTGAACCAGTAATGCGTTTCGGTCTGAAGGGTGGGGCAACCGTTATACTGTAAAAACTGAGACCTTAGAGCTCATGTCTTAAGGTGGGTTGCGGAATTTACGTTGTAGATGTCTATGGGCTCCGGTAACCACTTAACAGTAGGTGAGCTGTGAGCTCGTTCAACTATCGAAGCAATAATTTTTTTTATATAAATTACACCAAAGTCGTAAACGTAACATATCACATAATAAAAAGATTACATCGAACTTACTGTTAACAGTGAAAGTTGCCTGGCAGGAGTCATCCCCCAGTTCGTTGGAAACTTTACATGTGTACTGTCCGGAATATTCAGCCGACACTTCCTTGAGGATCAGCTTGTGCGTGTTGCCGCTATCTACGCGAGTGAACACAGACTTCTTTTCTGTCACCTCCACGTCTCCCAAGTACCTGGATAAAAATGGGTCTCATTTCAAAAATGATGATTAGATGAAGTGATTTTATTTTTCTGCGCTTAGAGCATAAAAGCCATGAATATTTAAAAAAAAAAGAAAATCTAATATTTAAAAAAAAAAAACATGGCCGTTGAGTTTCTTGCCAGTTCTTCTCAGGACGGAGGCTAGTTTTTGTGAATTGGCGGTAGTTCTTTTTTACGTTCAACAAGTATGTACTTATGTACGTATGTAAGTATGTATTTATGTTGATTTTTTTTTGACTTGATTTGATTTGAATATTCATCATGAGAACTGAACGGAAATACGCACGCATTTAAACACTTTATGGCTTTAGCTATGAGCATGGAGGATAAAACTAAGGAGTACCATCTCAGTATACTAAAAAGTGTCCACTAAAACGGAGCCAATTAAGATGGCGCCACAGTAACAAGTAGTAGGAATTTAAAAACAGCACCAGTAACTACCAAACTTCACTTCAATCGGGCACGCTTCACTCTGTTTAAAACTGCTATATTCATATCATTTCCACCTCCTCTACCCCATAGACTGAGTTTCTCGCCGGATCTTCTCAGTGGGTCGCGTTGCCGATCCGATGGTAGATTCTGCGAGGCACTGCTCTTCCTAGGGTGCGAGTTAGCAACACTTCGGCTTGAGCCCCGTGAGCTCACCTACATGTTAGGGCGAAGCTGAAATAGCCTCTCAAGGCCATCAGCATAGGTAGGAAAAGAAAAAAACTTCCTCCACTAATTCTATTTCGCTGTGTTTTCAAAAAATAATAACTTGCTCTTTACAATTGGACACTTTTTATACTTGTCCCCTATACAAGATGGTGTTCCTTATCTTCACCTTCCATAGCTATGAGGGAGACAGTTGTCAAAATGTCGTAACGCTAAACCTAAGCTTTGGTCAAAGACCAAATTAAGATACTAAACTAGGAAAACACCGGTATGTTTCTGATAGTTCAATATAAAATGAAACCATTCTGAGAAACAATATAAGGAAGACAAAGAGACAATTAATGAATTATCTATTTCACTCAAAACCGTATGCCAGTAATTTTTACTGGTGGTAGGACCTCTTGTGAGTTCGCGCAGGTAGGTACCACCACCCTGCCTATTTCTGCCGTGAAGCAGTAATGCGTTTCGGCTTGAAGGGTGGGGCAGCCGTTGTAACTATTCTGAGATCTTAGAACTTATATCTTAAGGTGGGTGGCGCATTTGCGTTGTAGATGTCTATGGGCTCCGGTAACCACTTAACACTAGGTGGGCTGTGAGCTCGTCCACCATCTAAGCAATAAAAAAAATATAAAAAAACTAACGCATGTCCGAGTACTATGACTACCCCTTTCAACCCCTGTCTCGTCACTATCGGATATCTCAATCATAAGGAAGGTTCTACATCATCATCTCTCAGCAGCTGGTGTCTTCGTGCTGCTGATGCCAAAACTTAAGGAACTTAAGTCGAGGAATGTTTATAATAAGCTAGTACTGACCACCGAATGGTGGGTTGCGGGAATGCATCAACGGCGACCGTGAACTCGACATTGACGTCACCCTCACTGGCCGTGACGTCACGCAGGCGCTCCGTGAACACCGGACCGCAGCGGACGTTCAATGTGCTGACGTCACTCGCTTCGCCGTGCACGTTACGGACCTGAACGTAATCAAATAATTAATCTGTAAGTTTTTAATACGCTTTTATTAGCTTCAGACGTATGTTAGTATGTAACAGAATCTTTGAACATGATTTTGAGCCCCTTCAAAACGTCGGATTAACTCGAAATTTGGTATACTTATTAAGGACCGATGACAATTCAAGATTAAAAAAAAAAATTGAAAAAAGAAATAATAAAAACTAAAAATAAATAATAGTTTTAAAAAAATAACAAAATACGCTTTTATAAAAATCCAACTAAGAAATAGAAAATTTAAATTAAAATAGTGTAAGAAAAAATGATTTTACTGTAAAAAAAACGTGGGGCGCTTTTCAGGATATTAGCGAAATACTTTCCACAATACGTACACTACAATAGGTACGTAATTTGTTCCCAGTTATTTATTTGTCGATTTTTGACATCAACGTCACCACTTTAGACATGCCATTATTGAATACGATTAATGTGAATTCCAATGCTCTTTGGATATCGCTCACCTCACAAGAATACTCCCCAGCATCAGCCCTTGCGGCAGACGTGATCACGAGGGAGTGAGCCGACCCGGATGATGAGATCTTCACCGTTGACGACTCCGTCAATTCCGTCTTATTCTTGAACCTAAAAGAAATCAATAACTAATTTGTTGACATTTTCATCAATATTTTTTCATGTTGATTCTTCTCCGCCTCTGTCATACTGTGGCGGTAGCCATCGTACAATACAAGATATTTGACAGATTTCTGAATCTCGCTTACGACATTTTCAACACCAGCGTGCATATATTATATATTCCTGCCTATTTCTGCCATGTAGCAGTAATGCGTTTCGGTTTGAAGGGTGGGGCAGCCGTTGTAACTATACTTGAGACCTTAGAACTTATATCTCAAGATGGGTGGCGCATTTACATTGTAGATGTCTATGGGCTCTAGTAGCCACTTAACACCAGGTGGTCTGTGAGCTCGTCCACCCATCTAAGCAACAAAAAAATATATATATACAAGTCCCGAACAATAACATTTGGATCGTCGGTCTACCGCGCAATATCATCCGCTCGGTAGAAGATCTTGCCTTCATCGTTAAGTATTCTACAATACCATAACAAAATCCTCAATCACTTAATATTTCAAACGATTTTCTTACCATTTGACAGTCGGTGCCGGTTCAGCTTCGGTCTCGATGCTGAAGGTGACTGTCTCCTTCTCGTCGACGACCTTGGAGCCGCCCAGCTTCTTTACGAGTCGGGGCGGTGACGTCACGTGCCATTGCCAAAACTCAGAGCATTGGTTCACTTCGTTCCTGAAAACAGGTCGAAGATGTCATACTAGATGTGTTAACAAAAAAAAAACTAATTAAATTTTTGGCACTCATTGATCATATAAAATTATTTGATTATCCATAGTTATGTAGCCATAATCAGCCTATTACACAATAGCCGCTTTGTAAACAGATAACGTTAATAACAACACCATTGTGTATTAACGTTGGTAATTAGGATGAGATAACAAATATAATGTTCTTTCTATTCCATACCCAGAAATAGAATAAGATAAGCACCCGTTGTTTGTAAGATAGTATATGAGCACAATATATTTATGAATAAAACAGTCTTAAACTATCTTCTGCCTTCAACGGTAGCTCTGTAGTTTCTTTTTAAAAAGCCATGTAATACTGTTTTTTTTTATAAAAAATCAGAAGATATATTTTGTCTAATTGTTTGACATAGCTTAAAATTAAATAAATACGTTGTCAAATATTAAAACTTTTGAAAAAAAAAACTATTTTATTTTAAATATTCGTAGGTCGGTTAAGAATCCTATGGAAATAAGCGATGGTGGTGGTAATGTTGAATGTAATGGTTGGTAATGTGTAAGTGGGGGAAGAGTTGCTCGGAAAATCTACAAAACATTCGTTCAAAATAAGTTAAATTGGTTGAAACATCGACAATCTGTCAGCTACTTTTTAATGATATATTTGTAAAAACATCTTTTAGTTTTCTTTTTTTTTCTGTGAAATATCATCTAGTTAAATTAACTATTTAAGAATGTTTGATAATTCATAAATTATCAAACATTCTTAAATAGTTAATTTAACTTAATCCATAGATAATTCAGTGCTACCCTGACACAAAATCATGAGTTTGTTTAGTTTAATAATTTCACAGTTCTTATTAAAACTGTCTAAAATATCTTAACAAAACTGAGTACAAAGTCGAATTATGATTTAGTTTTTGTTTTAAAAAAAAAGGTACGGTACAACTTTAAAATGACATATTCGAATCAGGGAGCGAAATGGAATCAAACTGTGAATGTGTATAATAAAAAAACATACTTAGCTACTACAGAATAAGATCCAGTGTCGGTCAACTTGGCATCTTTAATTGTGATCTTGTATATTTCCTCACTCTCTTTAACGATTTGTATGCGTTCGGAGCTCTTGATTTCAGCTCCGTCCTTGTAGAAGGTCAGGTCTGGTGAAGGTGTTCCTTCCACTTCTATTGTTACGGTGTGAGTCGTGCCGACCTGGGTAGGGGTTCATTATCATTGTTAGTTTTTGACGAACAAAACATCACTACATAGTATAAAACAAAGTCGTTTTCTCTGTCCCTATTTCCCTATATGTATGCTTAAATCTTTAAAACTACGCAACGGATTTTGATGCGGTTTTTTTAATAGATAGGCTGAATCTCGCTTACGACATTTTCAAGATAAGCTTGCATATATACAAGTTCCTAACAACAACATTCGGACCGTCTGTCTACCGAGTAATATCACCAGCTCGGTGGAAGATTTTTCCTTTCGTCGTTAATCATCTCCAAACTATTTATACAAGATCCAAAAACCCAGATTTTTTTAAAGCAAATAAACAGCCACGTGTCTTACCATGCAGGTTTGATTTTCGATCTTCTTCTTAAATTTCGGCGGCGCCTTCACCACTAGGTTCATGGTGGAAGTGTCTTCACCGAGCTCATTGCTGGCCGTCACCTGGTACTCTCCGGCATCTGCTGACGTCACGTTCTTTATCACAAGAGACATGCTCTCTTCATCCTCGTACAAGAACCTGGTCAACAATTAATAAGAGAGCTTTATCAGTGAAACAAATTTAAATCTGGTCGCTGAAATCTGGTGGTAGGACCTTTTCTGAGTCTGCACGGGTAGGTACCACCGCCCCGCCTATTTCTGCCGTGAAGCAGTAATGCGTTTCGGTTTGAAGGGCGGAGCAGCCGTTGTAATGAGACCTTAGAACTTAAATCTCAAAGTGTGTGGCGCATTTACGTTATCGATGTCTATGGGCTCCAGTAACCACTTAACGCCAGGTGGGCTGTGAGCTCGTCCACCCATCTAAGCAATAAAAAAAAAACCTGAAGAAACTATTCAGACTAACTAGTCTTTTTTGTTCTAAAACACTATAGATGGGTGGTACTAGGTAAATCAGATACTAATATAGGTCTACCTGTTCCTAATCTTAAGAGATACCTAATCCAAATACCTAATCCACATGGTCTTCCTAATCTCATTCACAACCAATACTTTACTTAGCAAGCAATCTCAATCTGCCTATTCCTAATCTGAAGTTCTGATTTCGTTATTAGGATTTGATTAATGTGATCGTTGGATGCAGGTGGCAATGGACCGGTCGCACTGGAAATCTATTGGAGAGGCCTATGTTCAGCAGTGGACGGCGATAGGCTGAAATGATGATGATGAATGATGATCGTTGGATCATCATTCATCATTATTTGAATGATTAGGATTAGGCATTTAGGGATTGTGAGATACGTTGCAACGTGTAAGTGAGTGAGATAACCCAGAATTAGGTGCAGCCTAATCTCGGAAAATACCTAATACTCGGGTCTGTTCTAATAAATCTGACTCATCTCTATAAAAAACCTTTTTTCGGATAGGGGTCGAACCTCATACGAGGTGTTGTCACCTTGGGGGCACGCGAGGTATGTGAGACTTTCCAGTCCGCAGATGTTGGAAGCAGACCGTGGGCCGTACGATGTTTTTAGGGCCCTACTCAACCAGGACTCCCCTTGGACTCTCTCACCCGATTTCCGATCTTCGCCAAATACAAAAGAGTGTTACTGATTTTTACTGAATTAAATTTATCTCACGGCCAGGCTGATATTATTTATAAGTTGTCAGTGATACACCAAACTGAGTGGTAGATTATGAGAGCCTTTTATCTACTGTGAAGTCTTAATTAGTAATGAAATTTCAAAGGACACTTTACGGTGTACTTACTTATGTCTGGTGTCTGGTTCCACCACCTTCCCGTCATGCTTGAACACGACATTCGGCTTCGGGAAGCCCTTGCATTGTAGCTCCAGCATGGCCGAGGCGCCCATCGAGACGATAGCGTCCCGATGCTCGATAACCAGGGTCGGCTTCTCTGGCTCCCGGTGAAGTTCGTTCACGGCACCTTTGTTTGAACAACTTCTTTGAGATTTTGGTAAAATATTTGTTTCCAACAAATAACACGTTTGAAATTTAAGGCCTGTTTTAACTGTATTTACTAGCCCTTAATTTTCTATTATATAATAGTCTTTACGTTGATAAGCTAGCGGCGTGAGTAACTGAAAAGTTTTGATGACATGTCCTGTCTGTTTAAGCCTTAGACCTTAGGTTTCAAACTTCAGTGGCTTAAACCAAATAATTGACTCCAATACAACATAATATGTACATATTATGTTATTTAGTGGAATAAGAGGATTGGAAATTTCTAGTAAAATCATTTTTTTATTGCCCCTGTAGGCATACGAACATACGTCCCACCTGATGGTGAGTGGTTACAGTCGCCCATGGACTTCAGCAATGCCAGGGGCCGAGCCAAGCCGCTGCTTACCGTTAAGTACTCTCCACGAGCCTCGTTTGAAGAAGGACATGTCATAGCGATCGGGGAATACCGTGGAGGGTAGCTCATTCCAAAGCCGGATGGTACGTGGCCAAAAAAGATATCTAGAAACGCACTGTGGATGACCGCAGTGGCTCCAGGTAATATGGATGAACTCTACACCGATGGCGGGCGGTGCGATGGTAAAAACGATATTATGGAATCATCTCAAACAATTCCTTAGAGCACTTTCTTTGCTTTTAGGTGAGCAATTTCTTTTAGGCTTTTAAACATTTTATATACTGCAAACGTTTTGCAGAATAGCGACATTCACCTTAAATAGGTTACATCTATACAGTTCAAAATGCATGGTTCATTGATATATTGCTCTGACGATGCGTGTTTCTCTACGTGCATTTCATAAGCCTTGAAGCGAACGATAGCCAAATATTAAAGCCGAACAACATCGACAACTAGAAACCAACGAACGAACATCTATTGTCAGTGTCAACGTGTAATTATTGAATCTCATATGAATTTTGCTATAATTGAATTTAAGATAATTTACGAGTAACATAAACCTTAATCGCGCAAACACCAGTTTCAAGGAACATTATAAACTCCGATTCGGTCATTGATATAGTTACAAGCCTTGCGAAGTTTTTAATTTATTATTTAAACAAATCAATTACCGTGTAATTACTTAATACTTTACTGATGGTAGGACCTTTTGTGAGTCCGCACGGGTAGGTACCACCACCCTGCCTATTTCTGCCGTGAAGCAGTAATGCGTTTCGGTTTGAAGGGTTGGGCAGCCGTTGTAACTTATATCTCAAGGTGGGTGACGCATTTACGTTGTCTATGGGTTCCAGTAACCACTTAACACCAGGTGGGCTGTGAGCTCGTCCACTATCTAAGCAACAAAAAAAAAGCAAAGAAATGAACTATAAGCTCGGAGCCATTTAGAGTTCTGTGCAGGTCAGACGCGTCTTCGGCTAAAGCAGTATATCGTTGCCGGCAGAGGCTTAGATATGCTGACGTCCATGAACGATGACCATGCTCACACAGCATCAAATGGGCCATATGCTCATCTGCCAACAGTGGCCATAAAGAGGGCTTAGTATACCGAGGTTGGCTTAATGCTTACCCTATCTATTTTTGCTTGCTATTAAAAAAACTAGTTTCAACTGGTTATAACCTTATAAGGTGCAATTTCAAGGACTCATTAAAGACACGTTGACAAGGAGGCAAGATACCTAGAAAGTGATGGCGCGAGAAGTACAGGTCGGTACTGCCACCCGTGACATCTGATCAAAAACCCGGCGGTCAGTCTTTAGTGCAAACATACTAATCACATGGAGGCTTCACAAATTACCATGTAACGCTACGATTACACAGATACGCACACACGCGCACACGCACACACTCACAAACACACGCACACATTTGTTTTATATAATTATTAATATTGTAGTATATAACTTGTAATATTGTTGTATATATATATGCTTTAGCGGTAGGCAGCGGCTTGGCTCTGCCCCTGTCATTGCTGAAGTCCATGGGTGACGGTAACCACTCACCATCAGGTGGGCCGTATGCTCGTCTGCCTACAAGGGCAATAAAAAAAAATAAAAAAAAATAACGTGATTTTATGGAAGAGCTGAGTCTCCTAGTACAGGCTTGCACGCTTCAAAGGAGACTCCAATCATTTTATTATTTTAACTCGCTTTTGAAAATAAAGTATTCTGAATAGAAGATAATTTTGTAATGATTTTTATCATAATATTTTTTGGATAGACAAGCACCATAGTAGTTTTCTTGATAAAATATAGGATTGTACACATAAACAACATGAGTATGAGCTAACTGTACTAACTCAGTGATCTGAATCTAATTACGAGTGATAGAGCTTGTCTTCTTTGTTCGAATCATTTCGTTCTAAGCGAGCATTTCTGTTTAATTAAGTATTTTTTTTAACATTAAGAAGTAATTGTTTTTACATCGAAAATTATTAACAAAGTTCTTTTTTAAATCAAATGTCCATCGTAGCGCTTCATGGCTACTACAATATGTAAAGCCTTTGTTAAGTGAGAAAAATGTTCGAATATAGGTACATAGTTAGATTTTAATCATCAAATTATTATTCGAAAATTTATAAGTACTCTTAATTATTTCAACAGTATTATGTGCAGTCTTCGAGAATGTATCGTGCGAAATGATATTAGTTTCAATCGGTCCATTGAAAAGAAATCTAAAATAAATTATTGTTCTAAGGCTGCGTGATGCTAATATATCTATTGCATGTATTAATAGGATTGTTCCACATATTGAGAAAATTAATTTGATAAGGTTCCATTAATTCTTTTTTTATTAGTGCAAATTTTTAAATACACGCTTCTTCTACATAGTTTTGAAAAGGTTACAATTATTCGATTATTATTTGTTAATTCAAACTATCATACCTTGAACTGTAAGCTCGGCTGAGCAAGATATATTTCCTGTACTGGTCTTAGCCACACACGTGTACAACCCAGCATCCTCCGGCTTCACGTGCTGGAACACCAGCGCCAGGGAGTCTTCGTCGTCACCAAGAAGAACCTGCGAAGGTTAATTTAAGCCATCAGCGCAAAAACCCAAAAAAAAAATTTATTGCTTAGATGGGTGGACGAGCTCACAGCCCACCTGGTGTTAAGTGGTTACTGGAGCCCATAGACATCTGCAACGTAAATGCGCCACCTACCTTGAGATATAGGTTGTAAGGTCTCAGTATAATTACAACGGATGGCCCACCCTTCAAGCCGAAATGCATTACTGCTTCACGGCAGAAACAGGCGCGGTGGTGGTACCTACCCGCGCGGACTCACATAAAGTCCTACCACCAGTAAATTATTGTTATATTCAAGCTTATAGGACGTATATTGGAATTTATTTTAAATATATTAAATTTTGACGCAAAACTGGCCTATCCATAGCTTCACCCATAAATAAGAGATAGCTTTGTAAACATGATTTTTGTGCGTATTGTTTTTTGACATATTCAAATTTAAATTCATGAAAATTCAAACCTATTTGTCCCCATATTAACTATGGCAAGTTTAGGCTAATTTTACGCTGACGACCTCAATTATTAATCTATGGATTTTCGTCGTAGCGAGAAGAACTGACTACTTCATATGCTGTTACTGATAACAATTCAATGTCTGGACATTGGATTGGTAATTCCGCTACCCCTATATATTTACCGAAAGTTATGGAGGTCGGATAGCCTTTAAGCCAGACTGCGTGATTTCTTCGCAACCGCATGGAACTAATAAGATGGTAAAACCTTTTCGTAAGGATAGCTATTGACTTTCTATTACGAATTTTATTTTATTTGTTTTTTTCCTTATTTCTCTTTGCAGAAACCGTTGAATCAAGGTCAGTACTCAGCTATTAACAGGTTAAGGACCGGAGCGGTCCCTGTGGGTGGATACTATTACTTTGCCAAAACAAAATTAGCGGTCCCTTGGGACCACCGCAACTCATTGAATATGTAAAAAACGCGGTCCCCCATGGCTCATCTAGGCTAGTAGCTATAACATATTAAAAGGGGACTATTCAACAATACGATTGTATAATCAAAAAACTAAAAGCAAGAATAGCTTATTTGAGTAATTCTTTATCCATATGCATTTAATTACTTTTGGCCAAAATCGCAAAAAATCGCGGTCCTTAACCTGCTAAACTTTCAACGATGGGTTGGATGATATACCTATATACTAGCGGAGTGCTTGATCAGTAGTAGTATTTACCTTGAATCGTTCTTCAGGATCGTAGGGCTGTCCATCTTTCTTCCACGTGAAAGCTGGCTTCTCGCCTTTAGCCAGCAGACCATCACCACCAGGAAGCAGTTCACCAAATATGTTTTTGTCATCTGGAAAATCACAAATCTTTAAGATCTCTGATTCAAATGGTATCATGTATGCTTAATAAATAAATAAATATTATTTTTCCTTAGATACGATTACACACATTTGCTTGAAATTACAAACCGAGTTCTACCAATGATCCTCACATTAGTCTACATACAGAATAGCTGTGAGAATAGCGGACGAAATACTTTCAATGTTGGTCTTATTTACCCACTTCAAAATCATCAATAGAAATTAGGTTCACGATACGAAATAAAGTTTTTTTTCTCATATATTCATAAGGATTTTTTGTTTTACATACTCACTAGCTAGTCCAAACACGGTTGTATATTGTGTATTTGTTTGGGTCAAATCTTGTGAGCTAAATTAGAACCACTGCCTTTTACCCTACAAACTTGACTGGACATATTGTTCAGTTCGATGATGGAGCCTTTTGAACGCCAATAACGAAGTATTGCGTAGGCATTTAATTATGATGGTCTACTTTAAGTTTTGTCATGACGTGGTTGCCGTAATCAGGGTTGGGTCCTGACTAGGGGACTAGGGGGGAGGGAACTCCTCGTTAATCTGAAGGATTGGCCAAGATTCTGATGAATTGCTTAATTTTATTTTATAATTATTGAACTATAATTAAAACTTATATATAAACGATAACTTTCTAAGTGCTACCAATAAAATCTTGTTTAGAAAATGGTTTCTTTTAAGTACAAGTAAATATAAACCTTTTTTTTAAATTTTCAATCCAAAAGCATTCTGTTTAGTAGTACTATTCAGTATTATATTATAGCTATAGCGGTCAAAAATATGATAACCACTTCTGCGCTACTTAAAAATGTCACCAATGCAATCCTGTATCTTATAGTAGGAGCATGTTGGGTGGTTATCGGACTACTCACCAACAACGGTAACTTTAGCTTCAGAAACGACATCGCCGTAAATATTCATAGCTCTGCAGGAGTATTTGCCCGCATCGGCTGGAGTCACGTTTGGGATCACCAGTTCGTAGCAGCCACGGTCGGCGCGGGTCGTGATGATGGAGATACGGTCCGTATCCGACTTCGCCACGATCTCTTTGTCGTCGCGGTAGCTAACAAACCGGACAGAATAGATTTAGAGCATATATTGCATGTCTTTGCGCGAAATAGCGTTTCTATCTGAAGGATTGGCCAAGATTCTAAAGCGGTCAAAAGTAAAGCTAAAATTTAAAAATTAACCTTTTATCCCATATCAAGGTTATACTTTTGAGAGAAAGAAAAATGTGCCTATACAATCCTTATAAGACATAAAAGTTACTTGACTGATTATATTGTGATATTTTTTAAACCAAAGCCATTCTAAGGGAAATTAAAACTTACAACTTAACTTCTGGGTTGGGATTGCCCTTGACTCTGATCATGAAACGCAAGTAGGTATTTTCCATGATCTCAGTGTCCTTCAAGGCTACTAAGAAGTACGGAGCGTTTAGAGCATTCCTCTGCTTTCTTTCTTCCGGCGTCACTATAATGAATTTTCAAAATCTTTAAAGCTATACATTGAACGATACCTACTTGAATAGAGTTGTAAATGGAACAATTAACAGAATTGTTCATATGAATATTCGTTTTCAGTTTTAATATTAGGGAAAAGAAAGCATTAATTGTCGATTTCTTATGCATTGATAGCTTCAAGCTTTAGAGAAAATAAGTGCGGAACAAGTGCTCGAAAATAACTAAGTGCAAATTTATTACATCTATAAAGAAACTTAAAATGCGTACACATAAACTACGTGTTATCCGCTTTACAATGTTTTATTCGATGAAATCGCGATGACTCATGCACGAAATAACTTTGTTTATTATAATAGTAAAAATAATACTGAAAAGAAATAATAATTATTTTCGAACTAGGGTGAGTTTGAATGTGAACCAAAAGAAACATTATGAGACTCAGAGTTCTATTGCCATTGAATTTACATAAAGCGTTTCATCTGATCCAACTATTCTATTTATCTCACCCTAAGCTCAAAGTGACGAATTAGTAAGTTGGACTCACACTCGTGGACGACTAACTGAGCTGTGCAATGGGCGTTTCCTTTGACGTTTTCAGCTCGGGCTGTATAAACTCCAGAGTCATCTTCTCTGCAATGTTTCAGTTCAAGGCGATGACTGCCGTCTGGATCATATGATATGGAGCAACGGTCCATGAGCCGATCGGTAATCGGCTTGTTGTCCTTGAGCCAGGTCACATTCACCAAATCCGACGACTCGCGTAGAACGCATTCGAAGACCGCGTTCTCACCAGCTGAGGATTCAGAGTATTGTTAGGGGAGCTCGTACGGGTGTACTTAGATGATGCTATCGTTTATTGTAGAAAACTTTAAGTAATTATTCACTTTCGGACAAGATTTGTAATTCAACAGTGACGTGTTGTGATGTGTTCTGTGTACCGTACGAGCCCTGTTTGCATGTGAAGGTAAAAGCATCGTTAGCATAATGTGTCGTGTAAGTTAATGTACTACAAGCGTATGTACAAGCACTATAAGTGGATCTACTGCTAGTAAGAAGTGTTATAGTTCTACCTCCGCATACTTACGCTCGATGTTTTGGCCTTCGAGAGTTTTTGAGAACACTGGTCTTCCATCCTGAGCTTCAGACTTGGAAATAGACCTCTGTAATTCAGACTCTTCAGAATGTACGCCGTTGGAAATGGCTCGCTTAGAATATTTGCTCTCGTAGACTGAGCCTCCATTGCTAGAACTCTCGAAACTACTTTCTAACTTTGTAGATACACCGTCAACCTTATTGCCGTCATAACTGATTTGAGAGCTATATTTAGATGAACGTCCTTCAGCTTCGTATTTTGATTCAATGCCATACTTTGATGCAATACTGTCAATTTTACTAGACGTTTCAGATTCCACGCCATACTTAGACGAAACCATATCAACTTTGATGGAGCCCTCGGATTCTTTCCTATATTTAGAAGCAATACTATCAATTTTGCTTGTGGTTTCTGATTCTACTCCATATTTAGATGCGGTTCCATCAATCTTGCTTGCTTTTTCGGTATCAATTCCGTATTTATTAGCAATGCTGTCAATTTTGCTTGTAGTTTCTGACTCGATGGCATATTTTGATGCAATGCCATCAATTTTGCTGTTCGTTTCAGCTTCGACCCCATATTTAGAAGCAATGCTATTGCGTTTGCTGCTGGAATCATAATCAATTCCGTATTTGGATCCGTCTACTTTGCTTTCATAGCTAGACTCAATGCCATATTTGGAACCTCCTTCTATCTTTGATGAGCTCGAGTACTTAGATTCGTAGCGCGAGGAGACTCCGCCTTCAGTAGATCCGCCAGTTTCATATCTCGCACTTTCGAGACGTGATCCGCTCTCGCGGCGTGAATATGATGATAGACCAGTGCTGTCATAAGTAGAGGACTCATATCGTCCACCAGTAGATGATTTTCTAGCGCTGCTGGAGTACTCTGCTTTGTAAAAATAAATAAAACGTTTCATTTTTATCTAGGGTAATGCTTATCAAAAATTATAAGTAAAAAACAAAATTATAATTTGTGTAATTACTGGTGGTAGGACGTCTTATGAGTCCGTACGGGTAGGTGCCCTGCTTATTTCTGCCATGAAGCAGTAATGCGTTTCGATTTGAAGGGTTGGGCAGCCGTTGTAACTATGATGAGACCTTAGAACTCATATCTCAAGGTGGGTGGCGTCATTTGCGTTGTAGATGTCTATGGGCTCTGGTAACTACTTAACACCAGGTGGGCTGTGAGATCGCGCACCAATCTAAGAAATAAATAAATAAAAACTGTACCTCCAGATATCCGCGAACTGCGGCTATACCTCGACATCTCGTCGCCACCAATCTCCTCTGTGGTTACAGTTTGACCGCCTGCAGAAGCGCTTTCCTCGTCTGCCTTTCCAACTAATTTTTTAACTTCTTCAGTAGCGTTTAGTTCAAATTCTTTGGATTCTTTAGCTACGCTCTCGAAATTAACAGTCTGTTCAGATTTTTGTTCAGATATTTCTATGATTTTTGTTTCTTGATTTAGGGCTGAAGCAGTCTCACTAATGGGTTCTTCTAATTTAACTTCTTGCAAAGTCTGTTGTCTTTGCACACTTTCTTCGATTGCCTCAGCTGTAGTAGGCTTTAAAACAGCGGTCGCTATCTGGTCTGCTGGGGGAGTTGTAGAATCTTTCTGTTCAAACGCTTGCAACGTTTCTTCAGTTTCGGAAACAGCTATCACAGTTTCAGAAACAGTTTCACTAAGAGATTCTGAAACTTGAATAACAGTTTCAGATGATTCTTTTGTTGTTTCTAATATTTCGTTCTCCGCTGTTTCTTTTGATATTTCAGGGATTTGTTTAACAGTTTCAAATGACTCGTCTGATCTCTCTTGTGCGTTTGTACACTCTTGAATGGCGTGGATTGGTTCTTCTTCTTCTCGAACTGTAATTCTATCTTCTGTTGAGATTTTTGTAGAGTCTTGTTCGAGAGATCTTATCTCTTGAAATGATTCTTTCGTTTCAACTACAGATGATTGCTTAGTAGTTTCTATTGATTTTTCAACATATTCTTCAGTCGTTTGAGACGCTTGAACAATTTGTTCTTCTACTTTTGCTTCTGTATGCTCAGTTTTTAAAGTTTGTTGACTTTCCAATTGTGATGTAACAGGTTCAGTCTCGGCGTTCAGAGCGCTTACAGTCACTGATGATTTAGTTTCTAAATCAGTTGTGACGTCACTTCTCACTTCAGTGTCGATTGCGCTAACGACAGATTCCTGGTTCTCGTTAAGAGAGGATACTTCTACAACTTCTGATTTGGAGATTTTAGTAGCAACTGTGCTCTCAACAGATGCTTTTCTTTTGACTTTTACTTGCTGGGAAGTTTCTTCTTTAACCGAAACCTGGGTGACTTCAATGTCTTCGGTGCGGGATCGTTTCTCTTTCACCTCTTGCTCTGCTTTAACGATAACCTCTTCTGTATGTTCGCGCTTCTTCTTCTTCTCTTCCGCAGTTTCTTTGGTTTCTACGGCCTGAAGAACTTGAAGGTCATCTGCTGCGTGTTCCGCAAGGGCAACTGCAAAAGGTACATGTCTATTTATATTATCCATATTTTTGATTGAAAAATCAAGCCTAGATATGAAAGCAAATAAATAAAATAAGACAAGTAAATGCCTTTTTTAAAGAATATCTTGTTTTAATCTTCAAAAGAAACAAAGTAGTAAAATTTTCGTTATTTTTAGACACTAAGTGAGGGCATCACGGGTAAGTGGGGGCCAGAAAGATTATTGAAATCTAAATCTGAGTCCATTTCGGAAAGTTTGATGAAATGATAATGAAACTTTGATTTAGTTCCACTAGATATACCTTGTGCTTTGAATGATGTACGTAGATCATACGTCTTGTTTTAGAGTGCGCGTTCCTTACTTTACTCCACGTAATATGGTTCGACATGATTTCGTTTCAATTTAAAACAACACACAATTACAAAATCCTTTTTCATCCAATTACGAAAGTAAAGCCTAGTTTTGAGCCCATAAATGATACATTTTAGTGGCATTGCGTTGGGACAGTTGTTAAAGTAAGTTTATCATCACGCACGTCACGCAAACGATATGATTTACTGGCCCATAATGTTTTCGAGATTTGTGACTTTATTACTTGGTGCCATAGTTCTAATTAGTTTGAACTTAAAACTGGATCTTTCCTGATATAGTTGTTGCATGGTACGAGTGCGCGTAGCCATTAGTGTAAGCCAATATTTACCGATGTCCGAAGCGTGTTTGTTGATTTCAGCCAACCAAGTATTCTTCACGTGCTCCTTGTGAGCACCGAGGATCAAATCAAGCGGTGGATTTTTCTGGCGAAGTTCGAACTTCAATGGTTCTCCGGTCACTTCCTTCACTTCGACTTCGGGGAGCTAAGACACAGGGGTAACAATTGAAAATATAACTATATAAACAGCAGTAGAAAGAAAATTAAAAGAATTCAATATTTGCCACAATTATGGCCGAATTTTAGATTTAGAGGCACCACATTGTCGAAGATTCACTGATGTAATGAAGACTTCCAAATATAAACCTAGCAGTCAATTGCTCATTGTTAATTATATCCTATGGCTTTTAGGTAATTAATGATTCAGTTATACTAGACATGGGCGTCATTTAAATGTTATTTTCTCTATTACTAGTTTCTATTGTAATAAAAGTTTGAAAACTTAAACTACTTCTTCAAATTACGAAACATTATTTATATTATAGGTTAGTAGTGACAATGTCAAAACGCCCAACTTATTTTGTAAGCTGAAACTTCATTGGAGTAACTCCAAATTTCAAATGGATGTTTTTTAATGCGTTCTATTTCGAGAATCGGTCATACTTTATTTAGAATAGTTGCTGTTTTAATTTAATCTAGTATCTAATAATAATCTAATTTAAAGAATAATAATATTAGTAAAGAACTAGAAGATATANTATGTTTTTTAGTTCGTTTGACTATATTAGGATTTGATAAGGTTGATACAGAACGCCGCTTGAATACGCCATGAAATACTTGAGTTTGATTTATGTGCTTTAGTCAGATTGTGTGTTGAGCAAAATGTAAACCGATGATGTAATAAAAAATAAATTGAAAATTTTGACTTATGTGCTTTAGTCTGCCGACCCTAGAATTGTCGAAGGGAAATGAAGAAAGTCCTGCAAAGAACCTGGAATCAATATGATATTGCTATATCTAAAAATATCGCTTTCTGGCAAAAATGCTAGCGATTTTATTGACTTCACCCACATTAAGAATAATCCAGTCGTTCAAAGTAAATACGTACTGAACGCATCTTCACATACAGAGAAATGAATAGTATTGCGTAGTGAGAAATCGAAGTAAAAACTTAAAAAATTACCTTGATGATATCCTTTAGAACGAAGACAGATCTGTCCTCAGATATCCTCTTGACTTTGCAGACCAAGATCCTCGCTTTGAAGAGGAAAAGATACCGATCCTTGGTCCTGCCTTCCTGGTCGGTGACGGTAAACCAGTCGTGGGTGAGAAGTCTTCCTAGTTTATAGATGTTGCCTCTAAATCCTTCGATGGAGGCTAAGAATTTGTTGTCAGTGGCGCGATTCGGAACGCCAAGAAATAGTTCTAGAGCCTTCTGGAGGTCGTTACAGTCTTCGCCGAGACGTCTCGAATACTTCACTAGTTCCTGAATAAAATGATGCAATTGTTGATTACACGATAAGGAATGAGTATATCAGAGGAAGTGTGAAAGTAGCCCCGGTTATTGACAAATTAAAGAGCGGACGGTTAGCGTGGTATAGACAGGTGATGCATAGAGAGGAGATTCATGTGACTTGATGTATGGAAATGGTAGTGCAAGGTAGAGGGAGAAGAGGTCGACCAAAGAAGACATGGATGGAGTGTGTGAATGACGATATGAGAGCGAGAGAGGAGTGAGTGCTGAGACGACAATGGATAGAGGAGAATGGAATAGAAAATTTGGCTGTGCCGACCCCTCTTAGTGGGATAACGTGGAGACAAAGAAAAAGAAGACGAGCATGAGTAAAGAAAGCTAAGGCAAACAGTAACAAATCAAATGGGTAAAATATGATATTTATTTAACTGCACATGATAAATTCTCTCTTACTATTTTTTATTAACTGAATATTTAAAAAAAACTCGTTCTTACATCGCCTTAATAAAGAAGATTTTTAAACAAAGTCACTGTAAACAGACTGTAATAAACCAAAGGCTTTTACGTCAAATATCAAAGTGGGTTTTGGTGTCTGTAATAACCAAGAACCAGTTGCTTTCAATAAACGGTGTCATGTAGTGGTCCAACTAAAATTTTAGTCATCATAATCGTATCTTAGGTTCAACACCGACCTGTCTGGTTCACCCCCTATCTATCATAAAACTCATTCTATTGCCAAAATGTCTGAAATTATATAATTCTATATCTCATGGTGAATTTACCTTCAGAAGAAGCTGGTAGTCGTTGATCCTTTGTATCGGAAGCTTTAGATGTTCAGTTATACCTTTATCGTCGCCGAGACTGTCTGCTAGATCCTGTAAGTTAACATTTACTAAAACCCAATTCTGACAAGAGAAGTTCGGTTCTGGTGTGATTTTTAAAACATGATCTAGTTAAAAATTAAAAACGACTATAATTTGTGTATCTTTTTAATTTATTTTTAAATGGGTGGACGAGCTCACTGCCCACCTGGTGTTAAGTGGTTACTGAAGCCCATAGACATCTACAACGTAAATGCGCCACCTATCATGAGATATAAGCTCTAAGGTCTCAGTATAGTTACAACGGCTGCCCCGCCCTTCAAACCGAAACGCATTACTGCTTCACGGCAGAAATAGGCAGGGCGGTGGTACCTACCCGTGCGGACTCATGAGACGTCCTATCACCAGTAATAAATGTATATATTTTTTTCCAAAAACAAGAAAATATCTACGAGTTAACTAAAAGTAAGTACCTATCAAATGTGAAATAAAAAGAAAAGATGATTTGCAGCCAGCAACAAATAGAATTCTGGATACCTAAATTGTTTCAAATTACATAATTTTGAAACGTTCCAATTTATATTTAATGTAGACATGTTTTTTTATGTGTGTTACATATGTTTAATGTATAACAATACCGCGCCAAGGATGATGTTTATTTTCGTAATGACCTTGATCAAGAGCGTTAACCTTCTCTTCGCAACGATACTAAAATTAAATTGTCTAAAACTGAATTCTTTTAATTCGGTATACTCGTAAAAATGCGACAAACCGCTGGAAGAATCCGTAAATAGATCTTTCATCAAACAAAGTTATTTGTTTCATGAATCCTGTTCTATAGATATTCAACGCATTTTTTAAAATTTTAAATTCACGTTGATCGCAGTGTTATTGGATTTTATAACCTACTAGCCGTACTCGTCCGCTTCGCTGGGCATTTAAAATTAACATTATTATTTATTGTCATTATTATTAGGGAGTCCAACACTCATATAAATATTAGCCTATCCATTAAGTACATATATTTTCTACATGGATACCAAGTTTCAGGTCAATCGGATGCATGTTTCAGTAGTTATAACGGAACATCCGTAAATACCAACCACTGTAGATTTATATATTAGTATAGATACTTCTAACTTCAATTAAGTTCAATGATTTTTTATTATCTTATTGAACAACCTTTTTTTTATGTTTTTAACACATATGACTGACTGACTCGGTGGTCCCGCAACTGGCGTCCTTGATTGTTGCGCTGAGGGTCGTGGGTTCGATTTCCACATCAGGGAAAGTTTCTTGGATGAACAGATATGTTTGCTCTTTATGTGAGTGTATAATATCTATTTATGTACATATATATTTAAACGCAAATAAGTATGTATGTCAGTCTCTGGTACCCATAACAAGGGGAATCCTAATTTGGGGCCGGATGACCGTGCGTGATTTGTTTCTAGTTATTATTTCATGTGGAAATATTGGTTGTATTTATTTAAATATCCAAATGTAGCTTGAAACTATTGAAACATTTTTGCATGGGTCTTTGGTTTTGTAAAATATATGAAAGAAGTTGAATAGCGTCACACAGCTTAAGATCAATTTGGAATTTAGTGGATTGAGACCATTGTCTTATCCACTATTGTAACTTGCACTGCGCCCCATGGATGAACGTAGCGGTTAGTATGCACGTCGCGGTTTTTTTTCCTAGCTATGTTGATAGCCTTGAGAGGCTATATCAGCGTTGTCCTAGGGTGTAGGTGAGCTCTCGGGGCTCAAACCGGAGGTATTGCTAACATTGGTCCTAGCAATAACAGTGCTTCGCAGAATCTACCACCGGATCGGAATCGCGACCCACTGAGAAGATCCGGCGAGAAACTCAGTGGGCTAACGTCACGGTGCGAGCGATAATATGTACGATCCAACCAACCGTTCCAGAATGTTACGTTGACGCAAAAAACACAGCATGCCCCATTAAATCATCTAATCTCGACGGTTCGCTTAAATTTAAAATAGTGATTTAGATTGAAATCAAAATAAATACATCTAATAAGATATAAATTTTGGGAAATTAAAAGGTGACGTCAACATAATTGAATTTAAGCCAGACGTTGAAATTGGGACACGTTTTAAGTTTATCGAGGCGTCGTAGATTTAAAACAGAATCTTAAGAATGCATATGAATTTACGTTCGTATCCCAAGGTGAGCTAAGAAAATATATATTCTAGTATTATATATTCCGAAGTATCCCTCTTTCACTTATTACAAAAGCGATAGCTCACGTAAAATGAATAGAACAAATACGGACCGCTGTTTTAAGGGACAAAATTATTTAATAGAATATATAACTGAATATGAAAGAAATAACACGTCAAAAATAAGTTTTCTAGTGGATTGGTGCATGAGTTCTACTTAATAATGTTTAATAATTAGAGAGACAATTTGAACTTTAAGATCAAGCTAACTGTATTTTTTTAAAACACGTATTATTTTGGTAACTAGATATTTAATTCGAAACCTAAATTTCTATTCTTGTGGTTGTTTCTAAAGCAACGTGGAAAGGCGACATCATATTCGGGTAAATAGCACAGAAGCTTATCTAAAGAACACAGTTAGATTTTTAATTACCCATTATTTAATAGATAATGCTCAAAAAATAAAGAAGAGTTGCGACCTGTTATGACAACATTTTTAAAATTATGTAGAGACCAAAACTGAGAAAGACTTGAAGCGTTAAAAATATGAATATGAAGATGAATATGAGAATATGAAGTTGCCGATTATTACATCACTATCACGATAATCAATTTCAATTGTTTGTTGATATGGATTTGGTTATAAAGCAATTTTATTTGGCTTTTAATGAAAAGTGTAAACTAATCATAGATAAATAACCAGGAAACCAATAAGGCTTTGCAGATACAGAAATCCATTAACCAATAGACCAGCAAATTTAAAAAGATAGCACTGATGGACTTTAGTCATTAATTCGCCATTCGAAAAATGAAAACTGTCAAAAAATTTAAGAAGATTTAAAGTTATTGTTGGAAAGAGGGAGAGAGAAACTTTTTTGGACATTGCAAGCCTATTTTTCAGCATCCACCAACTATTGATTTCAGTATTAGGTCTTTACTTAGGAAGTTGCCATTTTACAATACTGGCAACTTGTTACGTAAATTACGTGAGGCTGGCAATATATTTTAAGCTCAAACATTCAACCTCAATTGGTTAGTGTTTCGTTTTTACTACATTTGTAACTTATCAATATGGACACGATAAAAATACGAATAATTGTGGGATGCAAGTTCCGTCGCGGTAGAAAAGAATTGGTAGGACCTGTTGTGAGTGATGGGACCTCTTATGAGTCCGCACGGGTAGGTACCACCACCCTGCCTATTTCTGCCGTGAAGCAGTAATGCGCTTCGGTTTGAAGGGCGGGGCAGCCGTTAGTGTGGCCGTAGCCACAAAAAGATAACAAAACATGATAAGTAGGTGCCGCTCTCAACGATGCTGCCAGCTGGATGAACTAAGGTATGCCTTACGTAGCTTAACAGACATAGGAACGAAGGGATTTTGAACCGTATTATCACTTGAGATGAGAAATGGATTCTTTTTTATAATCATAAGTGGTCATCATATTGGTTTGATCCCGGTTCAGCGCGTAAGCAATGCCCCAAACGATAATAATCCCTAAAAAAGTCATGGTCACTGTTGGTCTTCTTCTTCTCAGTCGTGTCACTCTTGACAGAGTGGTCGTGATCGTCATGTAGTGTTGGAAGGGGCAGACTTGATGCGTCTCACGCTGTCGCGCCATCTCTCCCTGCTCGAGGCCATTCTACTGCACTCATTTAGGGGACCTCCCACTGCAGTTTTAATTTGGTCGGTCCACCGCATTGGTGGCCTCCCGCGTTGGTCTAGTGGCAATATAATTAATTACAGCTTCTTATGCGTTTCGGTTTGAAGGGTAGGGCAGCCGTTGTAACTATACTGAGATCTTAGAACTTATATCTCAAGGTGGGTGGCGCATTTACGTTGTAGATGTCCATGGGTTCCAGTAACCACTTAACACCAGGTGGGCTGTGAGTTCGTCCACCCATCTAAGCAATAACATAAAAAAAAGGCATCAGCCTTACTGCGTATGTGTACAAAATTCGACACAATAATGGAGAAGCTGGCGAATCTCCCATCTTTGGTTAGTCGCTCGTCCCCTCTACTTCTATACTACATACAACTCTCGACCCTATGGGAAACAACAAACAGTCTCTAAACAAAAGCAAGGGTTGAAAATTTTACGTCATCCGCGGTTCTCATCAGACCTTCGCCGATAGACTTCGATAATATTTAGAATGTTCGGCTAACTTCTTGACAGGAAAAAAATCTATACCCCGAGAGCTGGTACAAAATGTCATTGAAGAGTTTGTTAGCGTTGACTTCAAAGGAAGACATTGAAAAATTATCAGTGCGCTGGTAGAGAAGCGTCGATACCGTGGGTGCATTTTTTGATTGATAGAAAAAGCAAGAAAATATATTTTTTTAATAATATTTACTAAAGGGCAATTTTGTAGGTAAAGACCAATTTTTTATAAAGTTTTAAATCATAATTACTTGTGTCAGATATATTCAGGTGCTGGTTTTGATGATTTTCAAATTTTTTATGTTGATAGCTATTTCGTCCACAGACCTTATATTCCATAGGTATATGATTTTCCGTGAGAAATTTCACAAAGGGACCGCTAAATAATTAAACTAGAAATTGGCATTTGTAAGTTTTCAACAGAATGCATTGATCAGCCAAGATTTGCTGGCAAATAATCAAAATTCTGAACACTACATTTTCATGTTTGTTTTAAAGTTTATAAAATACCTTCCTAAATAAAACATGCACAATCTGTTTTATTTATTTATTAATTGGGATCTTAGTTTCATTCTGAATAGATAATTAAGGTGTTCCAAAAAACCGCCTAAAAGGTTTGACATTTTCATTCTTTCAGATTATTTACAAAACCCAGAAATAGTTTTGTGTGGTTTTTCCACTGACAGACCTCTTAGTAAGTAATGT